CAAGACTTAAACGGACGATACGCGTCGCATATACTGGGCAAAGAAGCGCTGCAATCAGTCTTGTGCCACATAGCCATCAAAGATTCAACTATGTGGGGGTTGTGTGAACGGGCAATACAACACTAAAACAAATGCACATAAATTTAGACGTAAACAAACAAAAAAAAATATCTATGGACTGCCTCCCTCGTGGCAAACTTTACGTAGAGGAGCTCCCCCGTCTGCAATGTCAAAGATCAGCTGCACCCTCGCCCTTGAGGCTTACGACAAGCTTGCCCCTTTCGAACAAACCCCAACTCTTGAGGACCTGAAGAGTCGTGCAGCATCGCCTCCTTGCCGTTTTTCCAGTAGAAGCGCAGCACGCGGGAGTAGTTTTTGCCATCCCACAGCACGTTGTCAAAGTTCTGCTCCGCAATGTACACCAGCTGGGGCTGCAGCCGCTCCTTCTGCAGTTCACGCAGACTGTCCTCACCACCTGCGGCCTCCACGTCATGCTCCACCTGCACCACAACGGCGAGGTGGCCCTCGGGAAGGTCATTCTCTCTCTGCGCAGCCCACACAACAATATCCGCAACCTTTGGGGCGAGCCGCTTGCGCAGCTTCACCGTCGTGGCCTCCGCCGCGTTTAGCAACCTGATAGCCTCGTACGACCGATCAGTGGCTATGCCCCCATGGAACTCGAGAGTCGACCAGTGGCTGACGACGTCACGCGTCGAGTAGATGAAGCTCATGCCGCGGATCAGGTAGAAGAAGCGGACGATGTACTCCGCCGAATCCCAGCAGGTCCCGGTCCCCCGTGAGTGCAGGGTTCCTAACGAAAACGGCGCATGCCGCACGTCGTGGGGATGGCTGAGTGCGACGAAGGCGTACACATGCGTCTTCCAGAGCCGGTGACAATTACTGAATGCGGGAATGCCATGCGCGTAGCCAAGGAGGGTGCCGTAGGGCGTGCCGCAATGGTCCAATGGATTAAAGGAGGGCTGCGCCGAATTCTTTTCCGATCCCGCCGTGTGACGCCACCAACGACCACCGAGCATGACGTAGCCGAGGAGAAGCAGCAGCAACATCAGCAGCGGAAACACGAGAAATGCGGGGGTGGAGAGTCCCAGTGCCTGCTTTCGAATTCTATACATTGTGGAACACCAAGCCCCTGCAGAAAAGCTTAACCAGCACCGCTTGTTACCCTGGCCATCCGCAGAGTAAAGGGAGGAGACGGGCATACAACTGAGGCACAAATTACAGATACAGTGGCGTGCACAACTGAACGTGTGGATGCTCCCACCGCGGCGGCAAGCAGCCTCACGACCAATGGAGGTGGTGCGGGTTCGCCGCCACCGGAGCACCTCTGAGGAGGGTATTATTTTGAGAATCCAAATCACGCATGCAGACACAAATCCAAAAACCAAACAAACAAATCATTAGTCAATACCATGGAAGTGGACAAAAAAAAAACACAAAGAAATAATAATAATAATAAAATGAAATGCCAAGACTTAAACGGACGATACGCGTCGCATATACTGGGCAAAGAAGCGCTGCAATCAGTCTTGTGCCACATAGCCATCAAAGATTCAACTATGTGGGGGTTGTGTGAACGGGCAATACAACACTAAAACAAATGCACATAAATTTAGACGTAAACAAACAAAAAAAAAATATACTATGGACTGCCTCCCTCGTGGCAAACTTTACGTAGAGGAGCTCCCCGTCTGCAATGTCAAAGATCAGCTGCACCCTCGCCCTTGA